AAAAAAATCATTCCTTCATCTGAATGTGCCCCAGAGCACTTCTGCTGTGGGATTTGAGATCCACATTATAATAAAATGGGTAAAATTTTGGCTTTGCTGCAGTTGGTGGCAAAATTCCCACTGACATCACCGGAGCCAGCAGTTTGCACTGTTAAACTGGCCAATTCTTTCAAAAATACCAGCTGCATTTCCTGGGGTCCTGGATGYGTTGTGCATGAGTGGGGATTCTGCCTGTGTGCGCTGAGAAACACCTACCGAGGCATAAGGCAGACCAGGAGGCACACAACTTTACTACACCCTCTTTGGGCTGGACTCAAGGAGAAAACAGCCCTTACCTCACCTTGAAATCAACTTTTCCTCACACAACTCAGAGACCAAGAGGAAGAGACSAAGGGAGGGTGTGAAAAAGCAGGGACGATCCTCAAAGTCCAGCTCAGCTCTAAAATGTGCCTGGGAAAACTGTGCTGTGGCTTTTCTTCCTGACCCAACAATTCAAGGCCAAACTCACTTTGTTCCCAGCTACTGAGGGGTTTTTACTAACTTATGATGCTAAAAACTCCACTTCASAAAAGAAAAATTGGGGTAGTTTGGTTTTTTTTTATCACACTCACATACAAAATTTCTGCCATTAGAACTTAATGAAGGATTTTTTGTTAAATCCATCTGCAACTTGTCTGTCACAGTCAGAGTCCTTGGTAAAGAATTTAGAAAACAAGATCTGTCTGCCTCAGCCCTTCTGTCTTTTTTGGATTTTTTTCCCTGATTCAAGTTAACTTGGGCACTCCATGGACAGCTATGTGTTCATGTGTGTGGCTGTCTCATTGTACACTTGTGTATATTTTTAAGAATCCAAAGACAAGAGCTTAAGGAAGAAATTCTTTAATAAGAAGGTGGTGAGGCACTGGCACAGGTTGCCCAGAGAAGTTGTGGATGCCMCATCCCTGGAAGTGTTCACAGCCAGGCAGATGGAGCTCTGACCAACCTGGTCTAGTGGAAGGTGTCCGTGCCCATGCAAGGGGGKTGGAACTAGAGGATCTTTAGTGTCCCTTCCTACCCAAAGAATTTTATTATTCCATTCTGTTCATCTCAGAATGCCATGAAGATCTAAGKCAGTTCTCAGTGCACAAAGGCCACGAGTTTTAAGGGACTTACTTGGGATACTGGAACAACAGAAAAACCACAGCTGGTATGGAAAACCCTTACTGAAAACTCCAGTTCTCCTGCTGGAGAAAAGGTTCTTGTTTTGGACCTAATTAATGGATTATTGGAGATCATTACCCTTGGCACTTCAGGGCTGAATACAGTAATAAAATTATTTACTACAAGCTTCACTTTTGTTTCCAAAAGGACTGTAGGGCAGCTTGAAATCTAACCCCCATGACACATCATGAGAAAAAATGAAGTTTCATTTCGACACTGATGGCTGCCMTGGCTCTTTGTTTTATGGAATGTATACATTTTATGACATATACATATTTCTGTTCATTCATACACAAAAAGCACAGTTAGCCTTGATTTGGATGAAAAGTCAAGAAAAGCTTTAAGTACTGCACAGTTTGTGGGTGCTCTGTAGATTACAAGCAAACCACGGTGGATAATGGAAAAACCTGTGACTGAGGACACAGAACCACACAGTTGGTTTGGCTTGGTTGGACCTAAACCATTGTGAAGCCATTTTTCTGCCTGTGCTCCTCACACTTGAGCTCGTGGTCAGTTTTTTTAGCACAGGGACAGCTGCAGCCCCAACCTCTCCCTCTGTGCCCACTGCCAACATAAGTGAACTCCTTCTACCTGATCTGACATCAGCTATCCATCACTCTGTCCCAGCACTGGGAGGCTATGGTGAGGTTTGTTTTCCAACAGTAATTCAAGCTGGGCTGTCCCATGAGGTTGTACGAAGTCAGCCTGCAGCACTCTGGTCAGCTGCACACCTCACCTCTGCAGCAAACACTCAGAGCCTGGAATTTCATTGCTTCTTCTGCATCTGCTTGCCCAGAATGTTTGAGCACAGGGCAGAAGAGAGTCACAAACCTGTACCATGAAGTTGTACTTGTGAGTTTCAGAAACTACATCATGATGAGTAATACCATACAAATTTAAAATTACCTCCAAGTTTTGTGCTGCTGACATGGCCTGAATCAAGATTTAATCTCAAGCTTTGATGGTTTTGGATCTGTTCCACCCTATGCACCCTCTCAGCTGCCGGCAGCCTCAGCGCTCATGTAGAAGTAATGACTCATCTCTACAGGAATGCTGCAGCACTAAAATGTCCCCAGGCTTGCTATCCAACTGGGACCCAGGAATGGAGAGCTAAGATTGTCATTAACAACGTGATCATTGGTGTTACTGTGGTGGTAGGGCTGGTTCACTAAAGAAATTATGTTTGTGCACATCCCTGCAAACCTAAATAGCTCCTCCGAGCACTGAGTGTTATCATTGCTATTGTTAGAGTTCCCTCTCACTGYGTTTCCCTCTTAAAGGTTAGAGGTGCTTTAAGGCCTTGACCCTCTGCAAAAGGGGAGTGTTGTGCTTTAGAGAATATTCCTCTAGCAAGAAGCAGAGAAAGCCACAGCCTCTTTGCACTGCAGGAAAACGAGGGACACCGGGAATGGCACCCTGCGCTGGACTGGTGGCTCCTCTCACATCGCTGCCCCCCAGCCATCCTCATCCTCAGCGCCAGCTGCTCGTGGGAAGGAGCAGAGTCATGAGATAGCTTGTCCACTGGGTGACACTCACTCCTAACCCACGGGGACATGCCATGCCTCRTGAACACGGGGTTCTGCGGGCAGAGGGTCCTCAAAGTGTGTGCCCACAGCTTTCCCCGGCTCCTGGTGGTTCCTGGCACAGTGCTTTGCTGAGCAATGATCTGCTCGCCATTTTGTCCTGCGCTTAATCTAGCCCCAGTAAGYAATAAAAAGCAAAGTCCTTCAGCATGGGGGAAACATCTCTGTAATGATACGATAGGTCTGTGCATCTGTTCTCACAGCAGGGACATGTACTAGAGCTAATCAGGAGCTGGAAGTTGTGTTCCCCAGGAAATTCTGACATAGGAAAAAATTAATTCCAAATTAGATGGAAATGACGACATTTCTAGTTTTCTTGCAAAATGAGATTTCTCCCCCAAAGTAGTTTCAGATCATCAGAATGTTTTAGTTTGGTAGTGTAATCTAGATTAATTTCATTCTGACTCTTACGCTGTATTAAGACATGAAATGTAATTACATACATGTAATAACACATAGAATATAGAATATGCCTGAATTAGTGACCTAATAGAGGATAAAATGTAACTATTTAAAATGGGAGTTGCCAAGCTGGAGCACCTGGCTTTAATGTCTCACTTAGGCAAGCGGTTCCTCCTTCTTATCAAAAGGGAGCAGTGGACTCCTTGGAGGACAATTGGAATGGAACCACCCGAGTGGGTTCCTCTGAAAATTCCACAGACTGTAAAGAAAACATGACATGGCATGGTTTTCTCCCAAAGCATTTACATGCAAAAATGGTTGATTCACCTCTCCTTACTCTTCACGTCTTCTGTGAAGGCATCCAGTCCTGTGGAGTAGATTACCCAGGCAACTCTCATGGTCATTGCAGAGAAACAGGAACTTTTACTATATGATTTTTSTATTCCTCATATAGGGATTGTGCTCTACAAGGTCTGATTGACGTTTTGAGATTATCAGTGGAGGCTGAAAGGACTAGATCAGCTACTCTAAATAGTGAGCCCTTKTTCTCCAAATAGCAGGTGTCTGAAGTGACGTTACTGGCTTTTAATGAGGGGCCACTAGTGCTTTGTTTCCTGTAAAGCTCTTTATTCCAGTATAATTGCATTTTTATCTGCACTCTTGCTTTTGGTCTCAAACAGAGGCCCCCACTGGACATTAGGGGCAATGTTGCTGGCCAGTCTTTCCATGTCCCATGCACACAGCACGATCCCCTCCCTGGGTTCCCAAGAGATCCCATCACCTGTTCCCCATGGCATTGTTCCTCCACAGTACCGTTGGTGACTGTGATGCCACATAAGGAAATGGAGAAAAACTCACTGGAGCAGGGATTCAAAGCAATTGGATGGTTAATGGAAGCTCTAGGAGCATGAGGAGGGGAACCAATGTGGTGGGGGTGGCTCTGTGGGGTCACAAAGGAGGGTGGCATTTTGACTCACCTTCTCTCTGTTGCTGTGGGATCATGGGAGGTGGCTGTGGGAACGCTTGGCTAATCTGGCCATAAGCAGCAGGATAAGCAGCTACAGGGAAGAGAAGAGGAAAGAAGAAAAAAGGACAGATTTCAGTGCTGGGAAGCAAGGAGCTTTCACTCCAAACCACCACACCAAGCCAGTGTGGGCTTTGTCCCTTGTTTTGGCTCTGTGAAGGGCCATGTTGTGCCCAAGAGCCGTGGTTGCGCTCCAGGAGGTGCTGTGGGACCCTGAGCATTCTCCCTCCCTCCATCTCCATCAGCAGTGACACCAGGGACACCCTTGCAGTGCCAACGGGGGGTTCTGCTGAGATCCCTCCCTGTGAAGTGTCACCCTTCCGGTGCGGTGACACGGCTCTGCTCGCCAGCTCAGTGCAGAGACGCCCGTGCTGGCAGCAGAGCACGTGCACACCTTTCCCCCTCACCTCCAGCACCCTCATTAATTCCACACTCATAAAAACAGTTCACAGGTGTGTTTCCCCCCTTCAGGTGCCCGCTGGATGGGCACAGTTGCACACACGCTCTCGGATATACATTTTCTTTCGTGCCCACAGAGACTTCCTCTCTCTYGCACAAACGCGGTGGAAACAGTGAGCAGCAATTAAACAATTTTCCCCATCTCAGCTCCCCCACCAAGCAAACAAGGGGAGCCATTCACTACCACAGATGGTAGATGATGTGCCTTGCTGCTAAAAATACAGAGTATGGGTCGCCTGCAAGACCAGAGAGAAGAGGATAGGGGCCATGTGTGTGCAGAGGGGTTAATTAACAGCTCAAAGGGTTGAGTTGCTTCCCATCTATCAAACCTCACAAGCAATAAATGACAATAACTAAAACACCGGCAAATGAAGCCCTACATGGAGAATTAAATTAAGTTTCCAGATACAGCGCTGACACGAGATAATAGCCATTCCTCAGCGGGAACCCATGATTGCTCCAGTTACCACAGGAAATAATGACTTTGGGGTGGCAGCTTCCTCGCAACGTTGGCCATGGACACCTCGTGAGGGGAGGCTGAACACGGCAGGGTCGTTGTCTGCACCAGGTCACTTTGGCTGGTGTCAGTCCATCAACTGCAAAGGAGCTGCTCAGCACTCAGGGCAGCCCGAGTGGAGCTGAGCCATGGTGAGCTGTGGTGAGATCTGCTGGGAAGCTGGGGAATGTCTGGGTGGCTCTTAACCAAGTCTCAGACCAGTTAAATGGGGCATGGCCAGCAGACAAACCCTAAAATCACGGGTGTGTGCAGGCATTCCACGCCATGCCAGGCTCAGCAGGGTCAGGCTGCCCATCCTCCCTCTTTGCTGCAGCACTCAGGAGTTTTGCTTTAGAAAGTGGCCTCCAAAGCAGTGTCCTGATTCTGCACTGTGCCAAGACAGACCAGGCAYGGTCCTACTCAGCTTCACTGAGGTGCAGGTCAGGGGGAGCCTTTCCCTGGGGAAAAGGAGAAGACCTTGGGTGTCTTGGTGTTTGTGCAGATTGAAACTGTGAGTCTGTGACCCCCAGCTTGTCCCTTCCCTCAGCCCTCTGAGGTGTGTGCAGTGGGAAATGGCTTTAGAGAAGAGAAAGGTTTATTGGGAGAAAGTGTTAATACTAACGACCTGCGTACTGCTGCACTCCAGCGTAGGCTTGCTGCAAGGGGTCTGCTGCAGTGGGGCTCTGCGCTGTGGAGACACAAGAGAGACAAGGAATTAAGGGGTTAAAACATGATGGGCACTCTCCCCTTATCTTTTATCATCAATATATGATATGAGACAGACACACCCAGGGGCTGAGTGGTGAAGGAGAGGAGCAGCTCRCTCTCCCTATGGACAGAACCCCCCAGGATGGCTAAGAGGGGTCTGTCCCCCAGCCATCACCCTGTGAGACCTTGGAGCAGAGGACAAATAAACCTCTCTCCTCATTTCCCAAGCTTAAATTATGGATCTGCACTGATCATGCAGATTTTTGGCACTAATCAACCCCAAAGAACCCTCATCTTAAGCCAGGACTAACACTGTGCTGGGTGCTGTGCAAACTCAGATCTCTGTGACAGCTACAGTCACATGAAACTTTCAATCAGAGCAGAAAACAACAGGGGCATAGCAGGAGGAAGGAGAAGAGAACAAAGCAATGGCTCCTATCATCCCCACATCCCTTCGAAGGACTGTGTTGCTGCCAGGCAGCCCCCAGTGAGAGAGAAGAAACTGCATGGAGGGGAGGGGGACACCACTTGTCTGCTCCAGGGAGGATGCTGTGAATCTCTGCATAAGGCATGCAGTCTCTTGCTGGCTTCAAAGTGTATTTTCTCTCTTTACAAGTGTGCATTCCTCCCCACTAAAACTGTTTATTTTTGTGAAACTTTGAAGTTTTGCTCAAATACAACCAAAGCTAGTTAAGAAATTTTTTTTCTTTTTCTCCTTTGGTTGATAGGGAGGAAAAAAAAAGAGAGAAACATGTTAGATAAGCTCTTTCTTTATCTGCATCAATAAAAAATTTAAAGCAAAGCTTGGCTAAACCTCCAGTCCAAATGTCACCTTGGCCCTAATATTTCACTTCTTGTTATGAGTTTAATTTGTATTTATTGGTACTGCACAGTTCTACATTTATGCAGCCCCTCCAACCTATTTCCTGTAGGATGATCCCTTAGGGAACTGCCACTTTCCCACATCCATCCCACCTTTATTCCTTCTTACCCGCACAGAGGTGTGGCTGGAGGCAAGGCTTGGAGGATGCAAAGGTGGGGGCCTCTTGGAAGGAAATCTGGTGCCATACACCTATCCAAGGAAAGACACTGACTGTATGGCAAAGTGTGGGGGAGGTTTTCATACGTGAGTATTACATACCCAAGGAACATGGATAAAGTGTTTTCTTACAAATAGAAATACCAGCTTGAAACTTAACTTTAAAGATCACCATTGGTCATGATGGAAACTTGCAAGGTCTTGCACTTTTCTCCCAAAATACCAGGAGGAATGGTGAAACGACCAGATTTGAGGTGGCTAAACCCAATTAGCTGGCTAAGGCTTGGAAGCTCCTGCTCATTACAGGCATTACTGGATCATGTGGACTTTGAGGTTGGGGTGGTCACAGGAAGAAATAAGTGGGGTTGCAGTCCTAGGTTGGAATGGTTTCCYAGCTGACTTTCAGCAGGTCCCTCAGTATGTGTGTATGTGAAATGGGAAAGCACCATCTTACTGTAAGGATTTTCATTTTTTTGCAACAGGGTGTGAGGAGAATACATTAAAACCTGTGGGAGGTCACTGGAAGGCAGAGTAGACATTCTRCACTACATTTTTAAAGAGCAGTTGTTCTGCTGGAGGAAATGTTTGGAAAATATAAGAATCATTTCTACTTAGTCCTTTCTTCTTGAAGAAGAAACCAACTAAAGTCTATTCTTTTTAACCTGTGCTCAAAACGGATTTCCTTKAAAAACAGAATATTGATCATGTTTTCGTGCTCCACAAGAAAACTGAATAGCTATGAAAAGTTGAGTAATACAACAGTTCCCTCTGCCCTTCAGGAGAATGGATCATAATAATTTAGATCCTTCAAGTCCTGCGAGGTATAGGATATCTCCTGAGAAAGGTGAGGGGACCTGTGGTGAGGGAAGCACATCTTCATACCCATGGTTTTTCAGACTGCAGTGAAGGAGAGGGTCTCCCATCTCTGCCCTARAGGTGACTGTCCTTCCTCCATTGCACAGAAGAAGAAATTGTCCYTGCTGCTCAGGAAATACAGCATTTCATCCTTCTCCAGAGGAGGTTGATTCAGACACGCTTGTTCTCCCCCCAGTCCGCTGATAATTAGCAATGGCTGACACTTCTCTGATACAGGAGAAGTCACTGATCAGGACCTGTCTGACTGTGGTCCTTTCCTTCATTCCTTGCCTTTTCTGGGCACATGTGGGAACTGCCCAACCTCCCAGCTGGAGTTCAATCTATCCCCTGGACACTCACCACAGAGCTGCTCTCCTTGTGCCACTGGTGCATACCTCACCTGCCTTTGGAACCACGCTTTGACCACCTGAACTAAGAAATTCTGTGTAGGAAATGTGTGCTGAGAATCCTGGCCTGCCTTTAAGATTAAATATTAGAACTGGGCAACAGTGTTAGGGACAACAGGCTTTCCYCCTTCCTCACTAAAGCTTTCAGACCTCATTAATTTCCCCAGTATTAATGACTTGCYACCAAGGGTGATATCTGAGTGTTTTTTGTGAGGCTGCCTTGTGACCCAGGTCACACATGGGGTTTCCTCTTGGCTCACAGCATATGCAACCCTGTGGGAAAGCTCTGCCCTGGTTTCATTCAGCTTTACTCCAACCTGGAAATCACTTCCTCATGGGAAAAGAACATTCAAAGCAGCTGTCCTAACACAGAGGGCCCTAACACTGACCTGACTATCCCTGGCTGTTCTTGAAGGGAGAATTGAAAGCACTTCTGGGGAGCCAGCAGCTCCCAGCTTGGGGCTGTGTTTTACTTGTAGTCTCATACCCTGTCTTGGCCACTTGGGAAAAGCAGTTGTGGTGAGCCACAACCAGCAGCAATTTAACTTGGCACCTCTGAAAAGTGATGACCCCTGCTTGCTGAAGAGCTCGCCTTGCTTAGCCTGGAGACGGCGTTTGCTCAGCAAATGAAGATGTGACTCCAGTGGATGTGCCCRTGCTGGCCAACACGGCCTGTGAAGATGCAGGGACACAGCTCCAGGGCTGGCTGGACACCCTGGCAGGGAGCCAARGCATCTTGAACAACCATGAGCACATCTTCATGCTGCTGCTCACGCCGACAGGTGAATCAGACCTARCGAAGGGTGCAACTGCCTGGGTGAAGCCAACAACTGAACCAGAAATCTCAAGATACAGATTAGACATTTGAGGAAGTGTTGGCCATGCTGTGTTTGCTAAAGTGGCAGCTCTCTTACACACTAAATCAAGGTGTGTGTATATATGTGAGGAAATCACAGTTCAGAGTCACCCTACCACAGGGGGTGGCTGTAGCTCACCATTTGCTAAACTCAAAGTGATTGGGAAATATGAGTAACTTCTCAGCACAAGGAGAACATCAGGAAAAGCTTTATTCCTCTATAAAATACACRTAACTTCAGAGGGTGGCCTTCACATAGATCATCAGTGGAGGGGTTACCCTGCCTCAGTCACCCTTTCTCCCCATCCAGACTGCCAGTGCTCTTTGATATTGGAAATATTGGTTGAACACGAGCATACAGGGCTGGGAGAACACCTCAGCTCCCCGGTGTGCTGTCTGTGCCAGGGGGCAARCCCCCAGGGACACACAAGGCAAATAGGTGAATAAAGGCTGGTAAATGCTCTAGATGAGAGTCATGGTACCACAGAGCACCTTGAAGGGGCTTTTGGACCAGAACCAGAATGTCTGTAAGTTGTAACACCATCCAAAGACCTCGGAGGTGCTGACTCTGTGCAAGTGTGCCTGGGGAGAACATCTGAAACAGCTTTCCTTGTGGCCAGACACATGGAGGCATCATGTCCAACACACAGACGTTTCCAAGATTAAAGGTGGTGTAATGTAAATGCGGAGGATCAGCTGGTGAAGGGGAAAAAAATCAGACAGGCTCCTGAGAGGCCAGAGAACAACTATCAATCACATCAGCCCCACTGAAGTCCCTGTGGCCTTGCTGCTTTCCAGGAGCTGAGGGTCTGGCCTTGCCAGGGCAAACCAAAGGTGTGCTGTGAAAACAGATGCTAATGGTAACTTCATTTGGCAGCTCAGGGCAGGAGCCTTATCCCTGGACATCTCCTCTATATTAATTTRATCATTTCCATATCTCCAAGGGAAAAATCCTGCTCAGATACAATTGTCTCTTTGCAAGACAATCCTGGCCAAGATRCCACAAGGTGACCATGGCAGATAACCTTCCATAAACCTGGAGACATAAAACAAGCCAATGACCTACTATATGGCCATAAATATAAATTTAACGAAGGCAGCACTTATTCATTAGGCAGAAGTCAAGAAATGACTCCCAAGTCCTTCAAAGAAAGTAGATCCGTTAATGTCACTTTCCAAATCCTCTGCCTGATGCCAAAAACCGAGGATGATTTCCCAAGTCAGCATGAAATACCAGTGCTTTAAAATTAACAYCAGGAAACTTTCGTACTCCTGATATATCTCTAGATTGAAATCAAACTTTTTAAAGGGGCATTCAGTTAGTGTTGGGCCTGACATTTAGCTTTTGTCAGAGAATGAATGGATGGTGGTGGCAGAATGAAGCACGCTGTTAAAAATAAATAAAATTGGTTGAAGTGATATTCTATAAAGAATCCTTCCTGAGGTGTCAGCAGCCCAGCTCCAGGGCCTGTCCAAGACAAGCTGTTATATGGGTGCCCCAAGTGAAGGGACAGAGGGCTGGAGTCTGCTCTGGTATTCAGGGGTATAAATCAGGAGGATCTGTACTGAGGAAAAAGGGTAATAATTACTGCCTGAGCCATCAAAAGGGGCTYTCCAATACCTTCATTGGACAGTGGGACAGCCCCTCTATCCCAGCTCAGGTAGGAGAAACCCAAAGTGGTCTGTTCCCTGAAACCAGAGGCATCCAATGCTTCTGAAAGACAAAAGTGTAGCTTGGCATATTTTAGGTCCCTAATGTTGTCATGGCATTTTGGTGGAAGGAGTCATCTTACTCCTATATGATTTTCTCTCCACTCCTTGCTACTGATTATCTGTGCATTCTGTGGCTGGTGTGCTCAATTCCATCCACTTCACCCAGTTTTGCAGAGATACTTCCTGAGTGGGTCTGATCCAGTTATGGACTGGATCCTCAGCTTTGTGCCCTGCCCCATCTATTCACCCCTCTCACTGCCCTGGAGGGGTTCCACCCCTCTCCCAGGAGCTGCATCTTGGCCACTATCACCTTTGGGAAAGTGGATGGGGAGGAGGGCAATCCAAGAGAGGCAGCACTGTTCAGTCAGTGTGGGGGGTTAATAACAAAACCACAGTAAAAAAAAAAATCTATGTGAAGGCCAGGATTAAAATAAATACTGAGTGGGAGGGCTCTATTCACCTTCTCCTTAAATCCAATTTAAATCACTCTCTACAGCCCTAATCTATATCCATAATTATATCATTTCGTACAACAAGCTTGCGAGAGGTCTTAAGAAATTTATGTAGATTAAAATTCATGGGTGCCATAGTACAGATTCCATATTATTAAGATTGATTAGGACAGCTGATGCTGTGATTAAAGAAGCCAGCGCTTACTGTTGTAATTAATTAGGTATTCAGACACAACAATAACTGCAATAACAGAAAGAATGTGCTGATGTGGCAGAAAACAGAGGCTGATCCTGTGTTTTATAGTCTCGTTTTGCCATTTATGGGTGGACACCACTCGGTTAAAGACATGCTGTCCCTCTGTTGCTTGCCCTACACATCAAAAGAGCAAAGAAATTCAGGGCTTTTGTGCCCTCTGCTTCATCCTGTTAGCAGGAAAAAGCCCTTTTGGTGGCATCCCCAGCTGTTGTAGGTCCTTGTTTGGGACAATGTATGGACCTACTAAAAAATCCATACGGTTCAATCTTGGAAACCAGGAGTATGTTTATTATTTTCTTCTTAGTCTCACCTCCAAGCCCCATCCCTAATCAGGTTCTTTCTGGGCAAAGCAAAAGCTGAGCAAAAGCATGGTAGGAGACATGTCTGGCAATGAAGAGCTGCCAGGTAACAAAGCGAGAAAGACACAGATGACCCAGAAATGCAGGCAGGTGGACATGGCCAGCCAAGGTGACAAACTAATTCAACAGCAAAGT